CCTAACGAAAAATTAAAAACCACAGTAAGTGCTCTTTTGAGCTCTAAGTATCAAACAGCTGTCATATTGAGATTTTTTGAATTTTTGGTGTTCAAAACGTTTATTTTTAGGCACTGATAAGTGCCACTTTGTCAGCCATTAACTGTCGTATCCTTAGCGCAGTCAAATGTTTATATTCAATTGAAGAACAATGACAGTCAATTTTATAAAATTTCCACGCGTTTATACTTACAATTTTATTATACCAGTCAACTATTTATTACATGTCAAATTGAAAACATATTAACCTGTTGAAGTTTTAAGCTGATCTAAGTAATACTAATTTAGTCCGTACCGCAAAGAGAACACCATACTTCTTTATTCCAAAGATTAGTTGATTGATGCTGAGCAATTGCAATCAGCCTACATCTTTATGTCCTGTTTTGTAAAATTTATAAATATTACATTTTCTCGTACGCCTGTATTCTCCCTTGAGATTTTCGTATGTAAATTGTATATTTGTTTATTTATTCTTTATGAAAATTTTACAGTTTAGAAAGCGTCGTTAAATAAAGTAAAATCACATGCGAGAAAATGGACATTAAGTACAGCTTCATTATAGAGTCGAGGTGAATTATATAAACTCAATTGTATCTGTGAACTGCACGTGATCTTGTGGCAATACAGCAAACGGTTTGCTAAGGAGACTGGATTTTTAAAACGAAGGGTAATAATGAGTCATTTAACATAAAGGGTGCAGGACAGGGTTGTTATCTTTATAAAGCTCGTCCTTTCATGTTGTAATCACCCGATTAATTACTAATGTTGCATATACTGACATCACTACACGACCAGATCACTTGCTTGCTTAACCGAAACAATCTCCTTGCTTATAAACTTAAATTAAGTCAGGAATCAACCGTTAAATCAGCTTCATATTTATTTATATTACTTTTCTTTAATTTCGGTTTACCTATCAAAGTGAATTGTTAATAATATGAGTGGCATTTATGAAGTGTGTTAAGAATGTGAGAGAAGTAAAATATCTTTACGCATTAGGCAGTTTGCTGCTTATATCGGTCTCAAAAGTCCTCCTTCCATCGTTTTCTTGGTCTTCCTATGACTCTTCTCTCCCTGTACGTTTATAATTTCCTATTATCTCCGGCCATCTGTTTTCATTCTGCATACAGATTTTTTCAAACTCTTCAATCTCTTCAACTGTATTATCAGTCTTAAGTTTCTAACGTAAAATATGTATTTATTTGGTTTAACTGTGTAAGCCTGTAGCTGTTCAACTAAGGGTCTTAAAAGTTTTAATTTCTGTTGCTTCTCTCACGCAATGTCCATGTTTTCCCTCCATATTTTACCACTGTCATGTCCAATATTTTTTGTACAATTTAAAGTATTTGTGAAATCTAACTAACAGGCTTATTATCGACCATACGTTTCTCATGCAAGCTTATTACAGTATACGTTGTCAGAAATTAATCCTTGAAATTATCGAATCGCTGGGAAAGTCATAATCTTAGAGGGTTATACATTGCGTTGAGGAAGTTTGTTTTTAGTAGATACGTAATTGTAAGTTTGTAACATGAAGAGATTACGTACATGGTAGGCAAGATGATAAAACTTTTTCAACTGAATAATAATAGGCATTTCGGCCTTCATTTCTCTCATATTATTGCCCTTAGTAGATACTGAGAAATTTAAATATTCTCAAATTTTAAGTGTATATCATATAAGTTATGGGCTACTATGACTATCATTCGAATTTCTGTCACATTTCATGTTAAAATATATAGTACTGTTATTCACTTCTAGACCGGTTTATTTCCTGACTTTACACGCCAAGCTCACTTATTCTGATGGCAGTATAGTAACTCGAACATAAATACTCGCCTTGGGTCACTCAGTTCCAGCCCTTCCAGGTTCTTGTAGAATTTCCGGGGTGACGTATTCTAGACCAAACTTAAGAAACTGGGTGTAAGACATCCACTTGTTTAACTCTCTGTTAAGCGGAACAGTGCAAGATAAATATTCAACTGCAGGGACTCACTAGATATCTGATGCTTGCACAGTCTAGTTACCCTAATAATTTTTTTGGTCATTCCAAGGATATTTAAAACCTTAAACAGAACTTGTCCTAGATGAATCGTAATATTTCAATTTAATAATACTGTTTTATTTTTAATTTATAGGGCATAAAATTTCGTTAAGTACTTGTAAATATAGATGATAATTTATTTTTTCTTTGCGAAGAGAAATCCCTTAATACTCTTGGTAATATTTTATATTTATTTAACGACACTTTTTCAGTGATCGATTTGAGTATGGAGATTCTGTGAATCAAACATTCTACATCTGTGTCGAGATAGTCTGATAAGAATTATTAAAGAAGTAGGTTAATTACAAATTATTCTAAAATACATTGCAAGAGGAAGTAATAAGTTCTCCTGAAACATCGGTCAATATCAGACTACACGGCGCTAAGTCTTAGAAGACAGCCAAATTTATAGTCTTCGTATTTCAAATTTTTTTTTTTAAATTACCCATCAAATTTAATTTAAATCATACATACATACCGTCAAATGGGCAAAGCAGTTTTAATATGCACCGTAGGGATGCGAACGCTTCTAAGTCTGAATTAATTTCATAAAATTCCAAAGTTACTGAAGGGCAGTAGACCTGATGGAGTGGCGGTAAGTGCGGGGAATTGCTTCAAGGGGGGAATGTACAGTGTCAAGGGCAAAGATGCCCCTTGGGTTTCAGGGCTCGGAATACAACATGGAAGACGCCCTCAGGGCAATCCGGCGGTAATAGGCCGCTGAAGAATGGGAGGGGGGAAGGTACAGGGAGTTCATCACGCCCACAGCTCCAGGGGACAAGCTCCCTTGCTAGACTCGACAAGGCTACCTACTCCTAATATCACGTATTTCAACTAAGCAAGAGTGAACTATGTGCACTCGTACACTCAGATTTCATGTGTTTATAAGTTGACATTTAATGCTTTTATAATGAAAAAATGTTCTTTGGTCTTTTAAATCGACACATTTCAAGTGGCATTGGTGTATAGAAGGTTGTGAATGCGCCTAAAAGAAATTTAACCATTTAAAGTCCTGCGGTAACTGTATATACCGCCTGTTTTAATAATCAATGAGCCCACATTTTCTATTATTATTCTCAGTGTAAACAACGGGTATTTTTCTAAACAGCATTAACCTTGTGATTTGTAATTGAGAAGTGTTGCGTTCTCTCTGCTGTACGGACTGAATTCTTAAATTTATAACAATAATAATAATATTACGTTAAATGTAGTATCTCTCACTACTCTTTCTCATTTTCTTTTCTGTTTCTTATTCGTGGTTTAAAGTGTTTATACAAGCGGTCATTCAAGTAGACTTACTTACCTTAGACCAAAAAAAACTGCTCCTAAACAGCGTTAGTTTTTAAGTGTTTGTTTATGCTGCTCTTGTGAAACATTCGAGGGCCATCTATTCTTCATCTCGGGCAGATCATTGTAATGCTAGACGTTTCTGGTTAAATCCTTCGGAACCCTAAACATGCAAATGGCAACAGGGAGTGTTTCTAATACTAGTTAATTATACTCCTATGTACATTCCTCAGGTATACTTTGCGACTATAATTTATGTGATATAATTGTGAAGGAAATGCTGGTCTGATTTCGTACTCAAGGCAAAGATCGAATTGTAGGTTACACTCGGCGGAATACGGAATCACGACAGGCCATGCTCTGGGCTGAATCACATAAGCGACCGAAATGCCCGCAGGCAGTAGAAACAAAATAACGTCTGGAAGTTTAGAACACGTAAGAACTTTGTAACGTGTTTACAGTGCAAAGAAATCGTTTCATCCGGTCGCAGTGGGTGAGTGTTATCTGGGGAGCCCACAAACTTTAGGGTCGTGGGTTCGAATCAAGTATTTGTCGTCGTTGCATATCAGAGGTTTACAGTATTGTTATTCTGTGTTATAGGACTTGTTACAGTTGATTGTAATCTTGCCAGCCATGGGGTCCAGTCCATAAGAGAAGACGGATAATTATATTCAATTAATTTTCTTATAATTATTGACAAATAATATTAATAATTCCAAATGTTTGTGTCCCACTGAAATATTGCGAAATTCTTGAGTCTATTATGGGAGATGTGGTTATATTTTTATTTATTTAGTGTTCTGTCTGACGACAGGTCCATATGAACAGGATCCTTCCATCCTTTTCTCGGACTGGGACCTGTTCATATACGTTCTTGGCAGATGATCCAGAAGGGGTTTGCCATTGCCTTCTTCTGTGTGAGTGTGAATGGAGTAATTGTTGGGATGCAACGGAGGAAAACTCCGTGTTGCCTAAACCACGGCCTTGCCCAACACAAGTTAGAAATTCGGGCACCGCCGGGAATCGAACCCGAGACCCCAGGATTACAAGGACAAAGGATAAATTATCTTAAAGTGAAAGTAATTCTGTCTGTATGTGCGTGTGATATGAATCAGGGATAAATAACAGGTTTCGTGGGGTGAATGCGTGGTGTGCTTTTGTTTAGGACTGGACGGTAGCAAGTCTGTGGGGGTGTTATGAAGGGGGGGTGTGTGCATGAATAGATTGCAATGAAATCGCGGTTTGCGTCAGGTGCTCCCTGGGTGAAAAATGAGCTAGTGTCGAGCAGAATAAGAAGTGGAAAGAGGCAAGGGCAACATTGTCTTCTTCGTAACCATCATAAATTCTGTTGCCTTCAGTAATTCAATGTGGTTGCATGACTATAATTCTCATTCATTTTATATTCGCGTCTTCGTATTCGAGGCGGTCCCTGGTTTAAATATGCGCACAAAGACAGAATATCCTTGACTGAATTCGTGATCTTTCTCAGTACATTCGTGTCTGAGCCGTTTCATTCTTCATTTGTTCATCATTACTATGAAAAGCGCACAAATTATGAATAATGTTCATCATCATTGAAGCAGTTTATTATTATTATTATTATTATTATTATTATTTATTGATGTTGCAGAAAGCTGCTTTCGTCTGGTCGTCTCCGGCGGAACCGTCGCCACACCCCCCACACGTCCACCACCCCGGAGGGGGTGGCGTTCACCCTGGAGGACCCGGGGCAGTGGCGGTGTCAGCAGGTAGCAAGTCAACGGTGTCGAGGTACGCGTCTACTCTTACCATCCACAACGCATTTTATCTTGTAGCTATGTTTCGACTCGTGCGTGCCATCATCAGGTCGTTTTGTTTATGCCAGCTGAAAAGTGACCACTTGTCTTATATGTATATACTCAGTAGATCACACTCAAATTAGATATTTGGCCAATTCCTAAAAAGCAGACCATATTCTCTACTGTCTCATTTGCCTGAATTTATTACGCACACGGATGTGACGTCAGCCATATTTTTTTCTAAGAACACAAAGAGCAGGACATTGTGTTTCAGTATCTTTATCCGCCTGTGAATTCTATAAAAGGTATGAAAATATGTACCGTGCTTATTGAAATTCGCGCACGGGAACGAACGTAGGTCTTAATTCAGAGAATCCTCTGTTATCGTCAGATTTTAACCAAAACTGAAACATATCGACAAATTTTAGTTAAACTTTCCAATTCATAATTTTTTTTAAAAAAAAATTCTTTCTACCCTTATCGAGTTGTTACATGTGAACAGGTGTACAAACATCGCGAATTTAATATACGCATGTTTACAGCATTCAGTTACGAAAACACCTGAAAATGCCAAGCATGATTCGAAACATTCATTCCTGTACTCAGGTTCTTCAGACAGTGCGAGGCTGTTACCGACATCATCCGGAGACCATTATTTTTCTTATTATTCCTATCCTTACTCATAATTTTTTATGTGGAAACCAGTAACGACGATCGACGGTTAAATATATATATTTTTTTATAATTTAAACAAATGAGCTGGCAAGAAACGAAGCCCGAAAGAGTAAGAACTTTACTGTAACGGACATATGACACCCTGGTCCCTTTTTGGGTGTCTTTCTTTCAAGATGACGAAGAGGGTTTTAAATAAAAACCGCTGTGATGATGGTCTTCGCAACAGAAAATTAAACGCGGCCTATGGGAAGCTGGAAATGGTGTTAATATAAAAAAAACAAAGTAAAAAATCAAGAGAGACACAACGGTCACTAGAATAGTATATTCAGTAAGAGCTAAACCGGATTATGTACCACGCTGATTTAAAATGAATCCATCCCTGATAAATAACTGTTACTGATATCAAAACCGAAATATGAGCACGTCGGCCTTTTATCGAAGACACTGTTCCATCGAATGGATAAAATATTTAATTATTTTCTATTTTCTATTCGAAATAAATTGCGTTTTTCCGAGATAAGTAATTGAAGACTTAAGTCACTGTTGACTTTTACACTCGTGAAAGCCCTGAGTCATCTTTCTTCTTGTACTCAGATTAGTAGCAGGAGAGTGGAAGCCTGAGAAAAGTGCGGACGATGCCTATTTAACGATGCAAAAAAACTTAAATAAAAGTAAGGCCGAAGAAGTGGGGATATGTGGATGAGAGAGAAAAAGTTAGTCATGTGTGATGTGTTTTTAAAACGGAAGAAGAAATAATTCCCCTCTTTACATTTTTTTTCCCCTTTCCCTCTCTTTTTTCATTCATGTCTCCATAGTTTTTTATTAACCCCTTTACGCATTAACCATAAACACACATCTCCCCTTACATACATACACACATACATCTGAAGATAAAGGGACATCTCCGCACATTTAAATATACACTTCGTCCTACCACTATCATTCTTTTTTGTCTTGTGTATAAGACATTCTTTATTTAAATAGAAAAAACTGGCCCCAAGGTCTTTTTTTTTGTTCTTCACGCCACAGAGATGGACTTAAGAACATAAGCGGCCCTTCTTTCTGAAGAGATTCTAAAGAGAATAGGACCTTTATGTGCTTTTAAGAGGGGTGCAGAACTGTTTTTCCCTCATCTGTTGTCCCAGGTATATGCAAATGTGATGTTACACCATTGGGACCTGTCTTGCTAATGTAATAGCACCAAAAGTGGCGTAAGTACGCGTCTTTCGATAATAATTTCGAGCAGGTTAGCGTGGTGGTAACGCTTTGATAAGTACCCGGTTCGAATCAGGGACTAGCTGCAGGGTAACGTAACTAATTTAACAGAGAATTAATGCAATTAATGGTGGTCAGGCGCTCAGTTTCTTGAAAACTGAGCTAATATCAAGCCTCATACGCCACAACATTTTATATTAACGCCATTCTGTCCGCCCTAGAAGACTATTGGATCGTATTTAATTGATTTGTGACGACGTGCAAGACATAATAAAATTTTTGTGTGTAGAAGGATGATGATGATGGTTTAGATAAATTTCACAACACAATGCTCCTGTATAACCTAGTGACCTTATATCTTTAATTGGCAAACGTGATGGGAAGGGACCACATAGTAGACCGAAATTATAATTGGGTGATAATATTAAAATGTATAGTCGTAAGGGTGTAGAGATAAACGATGTGTGATACTGCTTCAGGGTATGGTCCAGTATCGGGACTTAAAATATTTCAAAATAAGTGGTGCAGCATGGCGGTGAGTTGTTGCGCCGTGCAGTCTGGTAGAAGTTTGCCAACGTTTCAAAGGTGTTTTCTGCCTCCATCATCTGGGCGATAATGGAGTTTTAAGCACCTCTGAGACGTCAGTAAATTTCTTCGAGACTACACCGCGCAACAATCCTGTGGACAGTCAGGGTTCATAAAAGTTATGGCAATCCCATCAACTGCACAGATTATATGCCTTGAGGTGAAAGGAAGGTTTTGAATGGTGAATGTGAAGGAACGGCCATTACATAAACTACCTTTGCTTCTAGACCAATCGAATATCAAGTCAGATATGATGGAAATGTTTAAGCAATCTTGGGGAATACCACGAAAGATCTGGATCGATAATTTATACTTAATTCTCCTAAATATGAAACGGCAATGCTAACCACTGTTAGATTGTAACTCTTTTCGTTTATTAATTTTGAAGTTATTTAACAGTGTTATGTCATGTGCATGGATTATAGAGTCGAATGAGGTGAAAAAGTAATTATAATTGAGTAAGGATTTAGAAGGTGTCGTCATAGGGTATGTGAAAATGTTGTCCTGAATTACGCCTGGATAAACTAAGGATTGCCACAAATATCTTAATGATAGTTATTAACCTAGCTGGGATTCGAAGTAGGTACTTCTCGAGTACAATTGTATTCTACACGGTAAAGTGACGTTTTTCACTAAGTGAAGTTTAACTGGAAGTTACATTTATGAAATTGTGTTCATTTTAGTCATTAACAATGTTGCAGAGATACCAAAACGTCAGATATTCTGAGTTAACGATACTGAAGTGTGACCTAAGGCTGTTTCCATTAATAGGCCTACATTCTGAAAAGTAATCAAATTTAAAGTTTCACAAAATACTGACTGTGCTTATTTATGCAACTGGACAGGGTATTTTTTTTCGTTCTTTTGTTACTGCATATAGTAACTGAATTTTTACCGTTCATACCAATAGCTACTGTAAATGTTTGCTTCCCAATCGCTGTTTTACTTCCATTTTGGACTTTATTTTGTAAACAGACTACGATGTAGTTATTGCCTATTATTAAAAACTTAGGCGTTCCTCTCACCGATAACTTCAAACACCACGTACGAGCCTTTCAACCAGACAATTTGTGTGTTTCATGGAAAATATTAAAATTAGATTGCGACATCGATAATTTTCCAATAGCCTATACAATTTTCTCTGTCATATCTAAGAATCTAATCATCTACAGCCACAGTGATGTCCGGAGAACTTTAAATATTTTAATTCCGTCACAATAACACTGCCTCGAGATAAACTGTTATGACAATTACATTTTAAAAGAAAAACACATAGATAATGTAGCAGATAAAATGTCATTTTCTGCTGAAATTAATGTGCGAATTGTCAGTACGTATAGAGCAATTTCAATTTAAAATATAATGCCCAGAACTTTCGCGGTAAATTAGCTGTTAGTATAGACGATAGCCTATTAATTATTTCCTTCCTACGTAACATAAAATGTTTATACCTTCCGCCACATGGCCTACGGTAAAATAGTCAATGATTTTATAGAGCACAGTAACTGTAAAATTGGTTGAGAACAAGTTTTAAGCTCCAAGAAATTGTGAACAGTTGTTTGGCCCGAAGTATAAAAGAAACAACTTTCAAATATCATCTGTAATTTAAAGGCCGATTAAATAACAGATAGCTGACCGTACCATACCGGGCGAGTTGATAAAGCGGTATCTTGTAGGAAGATGTCCGCTTCGAGTTTCCGGTTTTTACTGGATGTTCAAATCCGAAATATGTCTTCGAATGGTACTTTAAAATAGACCACGGCCATGTACTCTAGCATTTCTCCAGACGCACATTGAGTAGTTATTTTGGCGATCAGGTTGTTCAAAGAGAATAAATTCCATGCAGTATGACGTAATAGGGATCAGAGTCCTTCTTGAGAAGCTAATAGTCGCTCAGTTAGACAAGAAATTTGTCTCCTTTCAAGGAATCCAACGGATTATTTTCGCGAAGATGGCTGTCCTCTGGGATGTTGCGCCGTGTAATGTGGTAGACGTTTACTGAAGTTTCAGAGGTGCTTGCTGCCTCCATCATCAGGGCGATCGCCCTTACTACAGGTCCCAGCAATCCAGAAGACAGCCATCTTTATTCTCACGCCAATGAGAACCTCACGCCTTATAGTTCATTACTGTGTTTACAAGAGTCGAACTTTAGGTCCTTCCCTAAACCGGACGAATTTGTTTCTCACACTAACATTCAACTTCCTTAAGATATTTTTAATATTATCCTCCATTTAACAAGTGATCTCTCTCTTAAAGCACGCGAGTAAAGTGTCGAGGCTGCTTTTCTGGGTTGTGATGCCGTCTAAACTTACAGGTTGGTACTACCGTTTCGGAGCAACTTACTGCTTCCATTTTCAGGACTAAAGATCAAACGATACGTTGGTATCTACTTACAAGTAAATACGACGTCACAACCCAAATTTCAGCGTCGTAAGAATCCCAAATCTCATTGAAGTGTCTACTTTTGGTGTCGTAAGTTTTAATTTTAAAGTTTCTGGGGGGAAAAGACTTACCAAAATTTAATAAACGTTTGAAATATTCGCTGTTGAAGAATGTACATTGCAAGATGCTTTAAAAGAAATATGTGGTACCCAAGACAGGGACCAAGAAGCCAAGATAGAAAGAAAAAGTGGGAAGAAAACGAAAGAATAAATAAAATAAATAACCAAAGAAAGTAAGAATCACCCGCCACATTCTCGTACCATTCAAATTCACTGTATCCTGACGCTAACAGCTCGGTTAGTTTAACTGTTCTTTGTAAACCGTGGTTTTAGTAACCCTGCGTCAAATATTGCACGGGATACGTTGCTCAGACATTCTGATGAGTTGTATGGTTTGTGCCACTCTTCCCGTAATGTACTAAGAAGGTTATCCGTGGACAGAAGTGGGGTTACATATGCAAATAGTGTGTTGCTTCTTTAGAAGTACTTTTTTTTAAAGAGAAAAGCTTCGAGGGACTTTAAGATAAAAGCTGTGTGCTTCACAGCATAGAACTTAAAGAGGGGTGGATTAGTGGTGGACCCTGTCTGGCACTACTCCCAATCAGTGGAAGGTTTGGGGGGCTAATAAATGAATGTAAAGACGGGAAGATGGTAAATAAAAATGCATACATGTAAAGGTGAAGATTCCCATCGTTTATAACATATGCAAAGTACGTATGAGGGTCGTCCTCTTTTTTCTGGTGTTAAAGATATTGAGGTGGAGTGATGTAATGCATTTTTTAAGAGAATGAAAAAATGACAGAGAAAGAAAGGAGAGGCGACCCATTTCTAGGTCCCCTGCCCCGTCTCTTGACCAGTTTTCGCGCGAATCTTGTACAGTCTCTGTCACAAAACATGATCCGGTCACAGTTTATACGGAATTTCAAGCGAATCATTATTTATCTTAATATTAAACCTTTAAGCAGTCTGTACCTCAAAGAAAACGCAACACTTCTCCATTATCTAGATTAACTGTTTACATTGAGAATCGGACGAAACACATTAAATACAGAATGAATAATTTTTGACTGTTATAGCAGTGGTACATACACTTACCACTGGAATTCACAGGGTTGAAGAAAAGTTTTCTGTTTGTTATCTTTGTTAGTCGTCACACACCCTAAATTACAGCAGTTCGTGATTGCGTGTTGGACTACCAGGGTTCAATTCTTGCCAGCGGCAGGATTCTTCTCTTCACTGCCATCTTCAGACAAACTTTAGAGACAGTCAGGATATCAGTTTAATGGAAAAGTATGAACACGTTTCTGCAGTTTAAGTTTCGTATTGGCATTAGGACTGATTGGTGATGATTTTTTAAACATCTAACTTCATGGAGCAGAGTACTTTTGATAAACTGATGGTACGTTCAGCTAGTCAAAATAAGAGTTTTCCAACAATCATTTTAATGAACCTGATAAATCAA